TGTATTTCAGTGGTTAAACAATTAAGCCTCATTGATTTAATCCAATTATTTCAAGGTTCCTGAAGTTGTCTGGACATGCGATGCGTGCAAAATTTTATTATCAAACGACCAAACTGTTGCAATACAGAGATAATGCTAATTAATAAGTAAACGCTTCTCCATTTTAAACATGTTTAGTTATCATTAGAATATGGGTGATTCTACAAAAGTTGGGCAACTTTTGACCTCATTTTGTTTATATAGTTTTCGGAGAAAATTAAACAGTATTTTATTATGAGAACAAAGATAATATAATAAATATACTGTTTCAGACCGGACCAGTCACTTTTTCAAACAGTTTCTGAAATATCTGTGATTTCTTAATTTGAATGCAAGGGAAGTGACGAGTATACCAGGGTACTAATTAAATACATAATTTATTGGAAAATAAAAGATTTATTGCAACTTTGAGCATATTATACATTAAATATCTTAAAATCAAATAATACCACACATCAGTGGCGGCTGGTGGATTTTGGGTATACCGATATCTCAATTATTAGATATGGGACCCACACCAAATTTATATGAGTTTATAATGACATTAAATAAATAAGTTCTGCGCAAGCAGAATTTAAATTGAAGTTTGCGAAAAAAAGATAACCGAAACATCGAACATGGAACTGACGACACGGTACTGTTGAATGGGATACCAATTTGAGATTATAATTCAGAATTAAGTATTTTACTGAAATTTTTTATTAGTGGATGCTACTTATCAACAAATCACATATAGCCTTATATAAATTACAATGAAAATTTATACACGTAAGAAAATAACTACTCACCACAGTACTGATATTTTGACTGGAACTATACATGCATTTACCACAATTTCGCAACTTGCATTGTTTTCAAGATGACTGACGTACAAAGGGCCGGCTCTGTAGGTATTTTTTTACCAACATTTAAGTTAAAACGAGGACTTGACGTTTAAACTTAAATATTTCGCAGGAATTTTGAATTTTAACATTGGACACAGAACTGACGGGTAAAAGTAAGTACAAAGTTTATCAATTTTTTAAAAATTGCTATTTTTCGAATCTGTGATAAAATATGAAAAATACATTATTTAATATTCTATAGTTTGTAGTGAAATTGAAAAATTAAAGATAAATTGAATATATTTTAAAATAAAATCACTCAAATATTTGATTCAGGAGTTGTGACACGCCAAGGTAATGATGTTTTTAATATTTATTATGTTTTTCTACAAACGTGCTTTTAAAAAAATACATTAAAATTGGGTGGACAAGTTAAAAAACCTGGATCTTTTGTAATATACTAAAATATTTACAAAAAAATATTAAAATACGTACTCTATTGACTGATGACATCAAGTTGTCCAACTTTTGTAGAATCACCCATATGTATCTTTACATTTGATCTTAAGAATTTTGTACATCATTGTAATTTTTCGCGATATTAACTGGACACCAAGATCCTGCGATTTAATGCCCCTTGACTTAATCCAACCCTTTTTTACTAACCTTAGCGAAACAATTTTAATTTAAACAATTAAAATTAAATAAAGCATTCGCAGGGCAGGCCAAAAATGAGAAATTAATTAATTAAACTTTTTAAACAGTGTCTTACAAAAGGATTTCAACATTTTTAATTAATTCTCCATTTTCTGTTAATACCTTGTACGCCAAATGGCAAACGGAAGACCCACGGAATTTAAATGAATTCGGAGTTTTATTATGTAGTGTCGATCTTAGGACCTTAGTTTTATCATCAAAGTCTTCCGTAAACTTCATAGTCGAATGCCGCCATTGAATTGATAAAATAAATCGTTTTGGATGCCTGTTGTTTTACGGCCTCACGCAGTTTTACTTTCAATGTAGCGAAATGCCTTCACTGTTAAAAATTGTCGTGGTTTAATTAGGTTACATTTATTGAAACAATCGAAAGTCTTATTTACATAAAAACCAACTTGGATCCTTTTCAAACTCGGTAAGACCACGTTGCTTGTATTGAGTGGCTTGTCACTAATTTGCTAGAATCCAAGTTAATTATATAGTAAATTATCCAATAAAATATACCTCTCCAATGGTTTTTTATTTACGATCAGAGATAAGAAACTTGAAGGGTTTAAATTAGATCATAAATAAAAATACCATTTCGTAGAACTTTTCCAGAAAATTGCTATCTATAACCAACTGTTATCCGTTAACTAATTGAATAAGTAGTTTGTAATTATAACAAACATTTTGTAGATTTAATAACAAAATCCTTTATCAATACTTTTCAAAAAGAAACTGAAATGAAAATAATTAATAATTTGATTATTTGAAAGAGTGTGTTAATATGGTCATAAATAAATATAGGTAGGTATATTAAATAATTGTTGAACATAGTTCAAATTAAATTGAAGCTTTTATACTTCTAACGACAAAACTTGTGCATACCTCTCGGCATACTTACTTAGTTAGATTATAAGAAAACAAACAATTTTTAGAAAAACTTGCAATGTGAAAATATTTAATAATCCCATGACAATTTTTAAAGTTATAATGATTCTTTGATGTAGATCAAATTTAGTCGAAGCTTTTTGTATTGACAAAACTTTATGTTAGTACACTTTAAGCTGGATAAGAAAAACTACTACATTTTTAAATACCATATTATCTTTTAAATAATCCAAAATACTTATTTATTTTGGTCAAAATAAATTTTTTTAACCTTAAAATTACAAAATTAGATGATATTTTTGTTAACCTACCTTTAAAACAGATATTCTTATTCCATAATAGAGAAGGTAGATTTTTTTTAATATATGCTGTTTAATTAAAAAAAATGTATGGAGAAAACCAGATATTTGGACCAAATTCACAAAAATATTAATTATTTGGCACCATACACTAGAATTTCATTAATAAGAAAATTGTAACGTGGATTTTGCAATTTTTCAACATTTCTGTCATATAGCAAAAAAATATAAATGAAGATTATTTAATTTTTTGAAGCGAAATTTGAAATATGTTACATAACCTTCTGTATATTCCGATTAAATTTTTGTTGTTTTTTTATGAATGTATGTGTTGTTTTCATATTCATTATAAGTGAGAAATCATAATAATTTTAAAAAAGTTCTTAGTGTGGGGAAATATAATGATAATAAATAGAAAAAATCAATCTAAATAACATTATGGGTTGGTATTTATCAATTTCTTACGTTTTCAGTTATAAAAATGGCAGTAAATTCATTAAATATTGGTTGGAACTTTTTTTTTCACTACTTTTGGCGATTTGCTCGAAAAAATAAAAAAAACGATTTTTTTCAAAAACTGTCCTTTGACGACTCCTACTGGTGAACCAATGCGAGTTACAAAAAAAACTCAAAAGCAATTTTAAAGAGCGTGAAATTCCCCATAAGGTGTATTAAACCGATTTGCAATATTGTCAAAGGTGGGTAAGCATTAGAAATTTGAAAAAAATATATATTTTTTACATGCATTTTAAACGGTAAAACTTTAAATTTAAATAGTAAGTGCTTAAAATTAATATTAAGAGCTCAAACTTGGTGAGAATGTTTTTTCCTATATGCAGATTAATATTTTGCTTGAGCACCGAAAAAAAACAAAAACTTTGCGGAAATGAATCACCCTATTAAGGACACTCCCGGATTTTTGTCGCCGGCTCGGGTCATACGCCCAGTTTTGGCTAGTAGAGTTGGTTTTTATAGAACTTTGAACTGACCCAAAACTAAGTACAATCCGGAATCCTCCTCAACCGGGACTTTAGTAATATCCCCATTCAATTGGGATTCATTAATTTAACGATATTCACGGAAAATCTCTAAAATTATGCAATAGGAGTATTATTATTATTAATATTATAGTAATGTAATTTAGCATTTGCCTGTTTTTTCGAAGATTATTGAAAGATGCATGACCAATAGAATTGTTGCTTTTTTTGAAGAAATCAACATATTTAGTGAGTGTGGTATGGTTTCAGGAAGGGTAAAAATACTAAATCTGCAATTCTGCAAATGGTACTAACAATAGAAGATTCTTTCGAAAATCTTGAATTTGCAAATGCAGTGTTTTGTGATCTAAGCAAGGCCTTTGACTGTGTTTCTCACTCTCTGCTTCTAAAGAAGCTTCAAGCCTACAATTTTTCTGAAAATAGTGTAAAACTAATTCAATTATATTTATCAAATAGACATCAAGTTTGCAAAATTGGGAATGAATTGAGTCAAAAGGAAACTGTGAAAGTGGGGGTACCTCAAGGCTCTGTTCTTGGACCTATCCTATTTTTGATATTTATAAATGACCTATAAACATTAGTAACTCGACTGATCTAACACTATTTGCTGATGATACCACAATTGTAGTAAAAGATAAAAATCTTGAGCTTTTGGAGGTGAAGAGTAAGAGAGCAATGTCGCGGGCTGAAAAATGGTTCACCGAGAATCAATTAGTCCTAAACAAGGGCAAAACACAGAACAATATTTTCTCCTTAAGAGATTTTAATGGCTTAAACAAGTCAGAACCCATTAAGTTTCTTGGAATCATGTTTGACAGCAAATTAAGATGGAACAGTCACATAGATTCACTATCAAAGAGATTGAATACCAATATATTTATTATTCGTAATCTTGTTGGTAGTGTGTCCAGTGAAGTATTGGCTAGTACCTATTTTTCCTTATTTCAATCGCATATTTCGTATGCCATAATTGTTTGGGGTCATTGCTCTGAGTCACACAGAATATTTAGTCTGCAACGCAGAATTATAAGAATTATTGCCTCCCTTGGTTATAGGGACGATTGCAGGGCTGAATTTAGAAGACTTGGAATTATGACTTTAACTGCCTTATTTATTATATTTATATTTACATTTCTTGTACTATTTTTATATTTGTATTTTTCTGACGTTGAAAACCTTTTGGTTATAGCAGTAATAAATATTATTATTATTATTATTATTATTATTAGTATTATTATTTCTGTTTACAGAATTGGACATGGTGGAGCGAAAGAACCCATCTGACGACTCAATCTCGAGACCGGGCCTGACCGTGATATTAGTGGGACTGACCGCACTGGCGGCGCTGCTGATCGTGGGCATCGTGGCCGCAGCCGCCGTCATAGCTTGTCGGCGGCCGCCCGCCGCGGTCAGGAGGCGGCGAAGAGAGGCCAGCAAGCCGCCGAGCGAGCTGGAACTGTCGGAGGCGGGGTTCGGAGAGGGGTTTCACAGGAGGAGCGCGCAGTACAGGGCGAGCATGTACGGCGAGACCGAGGAGCGGATATCGAGGCTGATAGAGGGTACGTAGTGCACACTTAATTACCTTTCTTATGTTAAGTTGAAATGCATATTTTTTGTATATCATTACAACGTACAAAACATGGTTGCAAGTAATGCATTATTTTTTAATGCATTTAGGTTTCAATGCACGTTATTAAAATAATGAGTAGGTAATGTGTTTCATTTTTATTATGCATTACTTCTTTTTTAATGAAAATTAAGTTAATTACTTATTACATTTTTTCCAATTAGTAATGTATTCTTTTTTACATTAGGTACTCATTTTTATTTTGTAATGAGTATTTTGAAATTTTCAATTACAACTTTTTATGTTAATAAGTAATGTAGGTACTCATTTTTTTATTTTTAATGAGAAATTAATAATTATCAAATTACTCATTTTTAGTGGGAAAGGAAGATATTTTTATTTCATGATACATTTTTTCAATTTTTGTTTTAAATTGGTTTTCTACCAGTAACAGACGTTACAAATTCATTAAAAGTTGACATTAGCATAATATTTATTAAGTGTCAAAACTCTGTTTTATGTCTAAAAGTCTTTTACATCCGTTGCTAGTAGCAACGGATGTAAAAGTCTTTTACGTCCACCTAAAATATTGTTCCTATTTAGGTAGGAAAAGTCACCTTTTTCTTTAAATTTTTAAGGTATAAGTAACTTAACATCAATAAACATACCATCTCAACTTATATAAGACACTAAAAATCATTATTTATTAGCAAATAAAAATAAGACGTTAATGTCAATTTGTTTCAAAATTGTTTATTCTTCTTTTAATAATTTTCTCGCTTATTTTTAAACAAAAATAAATAAAAATATAGATGATAGAATTAGTTTATGTTTATTTATTTTAACAAAAAAAATGATTACAAATAATAATCAATTTAATTATTAATAATAATTATTTTCAGACACATTTTTTTAATTTCTTGGAACCATAAAATCTTTCATTTCGCAATCTAGTATCAAAAATAACTATATTCGTTCAATACTTTTTTAAGTTTAGGTCGCCTTTACACCTAATTATCATAATACCACAGTTAAACTCTGCTTAAAATTTCTTGAGTGGGTAGAAGTATTGTAAAATATTTGCAAGGATATCGAAGAATACAAACAGTTTGAAAATTAAAATTTTAAAACTCAAAATTTGCACGCATTACTCATTAATTTTTTTTTATTATGGTATTCAAACTACATTAGCATTTAAAAAAAATGACGAAGGCATTATTTTTTACATTAACATTTTTGCAACTATGCTTTAAAAGCTGATAATTGGTTGAAACACAAATGAAACACAATGTTTTTTCTACGACCCTTTTATTTTTTATTATTTTCAAATATAAAACAAAATAACCTAAAAACGAATTTGACAGACCTGTTACTTTTCACACTAAAATGTCACTTTACATTCTAATTCTGCCTTGCCAATGAAAAGATTAATTTTCTAAGCAACGATGACATTACGAAATGTGACTTTTAAAAAGTGGTAATAAAAAAAATATTGTATTTTACATTAATTTAAAAACTACACAATAATAAAAAATATATTTGGAATACAATTTTTATGATTAATTATATAAACTTAAAAAAATGGCGCATGCGCCAGGTTAATGTATCATATTTTAATTAATTTAAAACTTTTTTGGTTTTTAGTAATGGGTTTAATTAATTGTAATTAATTTAATATATTAAATCTAGAGGTGGCGCTGGGGCATTCCAACTGAATATACAGGGTGATTCACCTAACTTATTTATTAGAAGTTTATGGAGAACGCAGAGATATATCGATTTGAAATTTGTATACCAATTATAAAATATTTTTTTACATTATTTTTCTTGCCTTATCACTTGCGGTTAAACCGGAATTTAGTTTTTCAAATGGAACTATATAAATATTATTGCATTTTTTAATTCTACGTAAAATTCTTGAAATATTAAAAAAAAAATTATTTATAACAGTTTTTGAGATATTTAAATTTTTTTTAATTTTGACTAACTAATATGTCTGTATTACCAGTAATTGTAATGTTAAAAAGTTAATTTATGGTGTACCTGTTAACTAAGGAGCACTCTATCAAAAGCCATTAATAGTATTTGAAAATTTTATGCATTGTGTCTGGTATTTACGTTTTTGTCACTTTAAATATAAATACCTTTCTTATCCCAAATGAAACTACAATACAATTTTCACATCATTCGACACAAAATAATGTTTTCTATTGAAATGCTGCAGCACTACAAAGAAAAAAATATTAAAAAAAGATATGGAAAAAAACATAAAGCAAGAGAAAACATGCAGTATGTTGATTGCAGCGAAAGTCTAAAATATATTAAATACATTTTTCTACTCCCATCTTTAAGCCCTATATCGTACATGTTTCCATGACACTAAGTGACCTTTTAAATACACATTGACAAGTTATGGCTTTATGACGCTTTAGTCACGGGCTGAAGTTATTTTTAAGTTAGTTGACAGTTGTCAAATGACATACAATCGTTAAAATAAATTGCCTTTTTTGTAAAATAATACTAAATGTAAAAATTTATGTTTATATGAACATTGTACTGACCTTTTAATTTTGCCGGCAGTAAACTATACTTAAATTCGGGCACGGACTCCACTGTAAAGTGCTCATAAAACATTTTCTTTACTTTCACTGTGAAAAACTGCCAATTTTCAAGAAATACATTTTAATTTATAACCTTTATAATCTGTGTTTATAATATGTAAAAATTTGACATTTGACGGTGACACACAGATTCCCCTATTGTTTCATAGATGGCGCTCTATACAAATTTTTGATTTAAATCATTTTAAGATAATAATAAGTATTTGTCGTAGAAAAAGTATAGTATGCACCTAGTTTATAAACTTTTCTAAACACTCATTAATTTAATTCGTGTATAAAATGGCGTTTATTAACCTTGATACATAATATACTATTATATGGCATTTCTACGAAAACCAGACAGTTAATATTTTTAAAACATTTTTTTTTTGAAAAATCATCATATTAACTAATATTGTACCCGAACCTTAATCTAAATATAATAGTATCAAACTCATAAAAAAGCAGTGGCTTGACCGTATTTTTTTATTAAATTTAACACCCAATATCTCAAAAACAAAGTTCATATAATTTTTTCTTCTTATTTTTTGCGAGTTATGTCGACTTTTAAATTTTCCCGATTAAAATCTGAGACCTTGTATAGGAATATTAATCCCGGCGCATTCGCCATTTTTTAAATTATATTTAAAATAAATTGTTGACTGGTGTAAAAAAACATTTAGGAACTAAACTAAACCACTGGCATTGATCGGGGAATCCCAAAGGCTTTAACAGAAAACTGCAGCGGTTACACCGCTCAAACCGAATTTATTATCTGACATGGAAGTCATTCGATTTCATAAACCGTCAAGAAACAATTTGTTTCTTTCTCAACGCCTCCATCAAATTTTATCTTGGAAAAACGATAACTGCAAAAAATGCTTGCACATAGACAAGCCTTCTTTGTTTTATACCGAAAAATGTTCACTAGGTTTTTCAAGATTTGATTTTTAGTCTTTTAGTACTTACTACTTAAAAGTATGACTGAAATTCATAAAATGCCTACACAGTAAAAAAATATTTGTTAATTTTAACCAAATGTTAACTAGATTTTATGTTTAATCCAGGTTCACATAACTTTATGTTAAGTTGACAACCAACTGTAATCTGTTAACTAATTGAATAAGTAGTTTGTAATTATATAACAAACATTTTGTTGATTTAGTAACAAAATCCTATGTCGATATTTTAACCATAATTCTTGTAATTTTGTATTGTTAAATGTTGCTTTTTTAATCAATTTTCTAAACAAAAAAAATAACACATACCTACATAAATAAACACATACACAATTAAATAAGATTATTCTGAAATCATCAAATTATAAAGATATTTAGTACAATATAATTTATAAGTACTTATTGTAATTATTTCGTCTCCGCTTTTCTTTAATTTTGTTCGTATTGACTTTTGGTTGGATTTTTATAAATGTTTAGGGTTTCGTTTACTTACATTTAAGACAGGCATTGCACTTTTTAATTTTTTTAACGTTTTTTTTCAGAAAAATGTGTTTAGTTAGCTTTATATGTCTCCACTGTGTTTCCAATTTGAAATCCAAAATTTAATTCAATAAAAAAAGTTGTTATAAAAATAATTTGAAATAAAATGTACTTTTGACTCCAATTTAATTTTTTATTAAAAATTGTATGCCTTTTTTAAATATTTATGTTAGTTAAGTTACTTTTTAAAAGACACCATTCCGATTCTTTGTTAAAAAACAATACCATTAATATTTTCTTTTAGTCACTGTATTAGTGAGTTAAACTCTAATTTATAAACAGGTATTACCAAGTGATAGTAAAATCATTTTAAGGATTTTTTTTAACAAAAACTAAAAAAAAGTAACGAAATAGACATTGGTATCACAACGGACTGGGGTACACAAAGGACTTAATCAGATAACGTAAAAAAGAAACTATATAGGGTGGTACGATTTTAGAGTAATGCATAAACAAAATCCCTTGTAGTGGTGCTCACTTGCAGAATAACAACTTAGATTTCTAAATTATAGACACCCTTTTTCTTTGACTATAAGCTGGTGTCTTTTAGTTCATTGTACAGTATATTGCGTGGAATTTTCCCTTGGATGTAAGCTATACCATGAGTTGTAATCACAAATAATTTTAAATTGGTTTATCATAAACTACTTTTAATAAAAGCGACGGTAAATATCCACTTTGTTGTCGAAAAATTCTATTGCGTTACCCTAAATTCCATTGCAGTAACGCAGTGGACAAAGTTTTGTGAAACCATATTTAAAAAATAATAATAAAACATTATAGTCATTAATTACTCTCAATGAGCTTTAGTGCCCTAAAATAAACATAAACATGAAAAAAGTATTTTTTCTTACCTTATTTTTATTATTTTTTTGAGTAACTAGCAGACAAACAATTATTA